ACCACCACCACCACCACCACCACCAACACCACCGCATCGACCCAGATCGCATCCTCTACTCATCCCGTGGGGCCGCGACCGCGTCACCATGGATCACATCGCCGGCCCGTCCAGCATGGCTGCACGTCCTAGCGCTCCTCGTCGGAGGTGGTATAGCGTCCAGTCGACAGAATCACCACGCGCTCCTACACACGATGAACCGCGTTCGGGCACGACATTGTCGAGACCGTCGTCAAAACGTGAGCGGCGCCCAGCATTCAGCCTGATGCTGCTCATGCTCGTTGCACTGCTGCTCTGCCCCCTGGTACATGCGTCCGAAGGCGACCGCTCGCCCGAGTACCGCATGTGCGTCTCGTCATGCACCGCCGACCTGTGCCGCGACGGCGTGGACGACGGCGTCATGCATGCGCACCGTCTGCCCTTCATCCTGCGCGTCACACGCTGGACGTGCGAGGACGACTGCAAGTATCACTGCACCCACCGCATCACCAACGACGCCGTCGAGCGCGTGCACAAGATCCAGCACGACGCACGTGCCGAAGTCGATGCCCTTGCTTCGGAGCAGCCCATCTCGGCACCCGCGCGTGCAGAGCGCATCCGCACACTCGTCCGCACCGAGCTCGCCAAGCTGCGCCCCGTGCAGAAGCAGATGGTGCAGTTCCACGGCAAGTGGGTCTTCATCCGCTTCCTCGGCGCGCAGGAGCCGCTGTCGGTGCTGTTCAGCCTGCTCAACCTGCGCATCCACTACAATGCGCTCTTCAGCCTCCGCAAACAGCTCCCCGACGCGTTTCCGCTCAAGCTCGTCTACATTGTGCATACGCTCGTCAGCATCAACGCCTGGATCTGGTCCGCCGTCTTCCACACGCGCGACAAGAACATCACCGAAAAGCTCGACTACTTCTCCGCGGGCGCCGTCATCATGTCCGGCTTCTTCTTCAGTGCGGCGCGGCTCTTCAGGCTGGCGCCGGGAGGAGATCGGTTTGTGCTGCTGCGCAGGGCATGCATTGGCGCACTCGCGCTGCACATACTCTACCTCAGCATCGGCCGCTTCGACTACGCATACAACATGGCGGCCAACGTGGTGGTCGGACTGGTGCATACGCTGCTCTGGCTCACGTACTCGCTGCGGCCCACGACATTCCCGTCGAATCCGCTGGTGGACCGCAGTGCATTCAGCCGCGCCGCCATGCGTGCGGCCAAGCCGTCGCTGTCGGCGCTCTCGACGCCCACGCCGCTCTCGAACGGCGCAGCCACCCCGCCCGTGCCCGTATCCACCAACATCGGCCCGCCCAGCTCGCACGCCAAGCCGCGCCGACGCCTGCAGCTCATCCTCGCGCTCATGACGGCGTCGGTGCTGCTGGAGCTGCTCGACTTCCCGCCCGTGCTGCGCATCGTCGATGCCCATTCGCTTTGGCACCTCGCCACCGTACCCATCACCAGCATGTGGTACGACTGGCTCGTGGCCGACGCGCAGGAGTGCGTCAGCACCGGATGGTGGCTCTCCGAGCGCTCCGGACCGGCACAGGCGGGTCAGCTCGGGTCGACGCTCGAGCAGATGAGCGAAAAGCTCAAGGGCAGAGCCGCCAGCCTCGCGCAGAACATCGAGCTCAACGCTCTCACCGCCAAGCTCAACGAGCTCGCCAACAAGGCCGGATTCAGCGGCCGCGGCGGCGATGCTTCGGGCAGCGGGGCTGGGCTTCTGGGTCATGCCACCGGCGTGGATGGAGACGGCAGCGGCCACGGCATCGACATGGACGTGCACGCGCGCGCAAAACCTGCATCCGCACCAGCGCCAGCGCCAGCTGCCACAACGTCCACGGCGACGGCGTCTGGAAAGGCGAAGGATACGTAGTCCGAGCTCCATCGCACCAGGATCGTAGCATGTAATGGAAAAGAGGACGTCGGGTCGTCCCTGTTGAGACATGAAGTGCAGGCAGAGTGAGAGGATGAGGTGGAGGAGTTGGCTCGGAAGTCGGAGTGCGAAGGTTGGAGGCAAAAGGCAAAATTTAGGGTCTCTGGCAATGCAGTCTCTTTTTAGCGTTCCATCATCATCTGCACCAGCACCAGCACGATTCACGCTCACACCACAGCAGCATGGCCGAGGCAGTAGGGTCAACATCGGCGGCGGGGAGTGCGCGCAAGAGGGTGCGCAAGCGCTCGCGCAAGTCCAAATCCAATACTGCCGCGAATGACGACTCGGACGCGGAATCGCTCGACACACCGCACCACCCCTCCGCACCAGTCAAGACCGCTCCTGCCGAGCCTGCACGGGCTGCTGCGGCAAGTGTACCTGCCCCTGCGCCCGCATCTGCAGCTCCATCCAAGGCGGTGACAAAGGTGGCAGAGGTGAACCCGCACAAGCCATCGTTCATCACGCGGCCGACCGCGCCGGGTGGGCGGCGGTATACGGTGTCGGTCGCCATCCCGGGCTCGATCGTAGTCAACGCGCAGTCGCCCGAGCTGCAAAGCCGGCTGGCGGCGCACATTGCGCGCGCGTGTGCGATATTCAACGTGGACGAGATTGTTGTATTCGACGAAGGCGATGTGCGCTCCATCGACCCGGACGCCCATTCTCAGCAGCGCCCACCCGCGCGCGGCAGTAAACGACGCTGGAGCGAGCCACAGTCCGCCGCAGCCAACGAGGGCGAGGGCGAAGAGCAGCAAGAAGAGTCCGACAACAAGGGTTTCGATCCACAGACGTTCCTGGCGCGCGTGTTGCAGTACCTCGAGACGCCGCAGTATCTGCGAAAGGCGCTGTTCCCCATGCACCGCGACTTGAGGCTGGCGGGTTTGATGCCGCCGCTCGACTGTCCGCACCACCTGCGCTTCGAGGACGAGTGCGAGTATCGCGAAGGCGTCACCGTCGATCCTCCCCACTGGGCTCGCGGCAGGGGTCAAGGCGTATACGTCAACATTGGACTTCGTGATCCGATCCAAGCCACTCTCCCCGGTGGCGTGCCTGCACGTGTCGAGACCGGCACCAGGGTGACGATCAAAATGCCCTACAGCGCGCACGAGGCCGGCGAGATCGTCTCTCCGCGCGAACCCGTCGAGAAGCTCGGTTGGTACTGGGGCTACACTGTGCGCCTCGCACCGTCGCTCTCGGCCGTGCTGACCGACTGCCCCTTTGGCAGCGAGTACGATCTGGTCATCGGAACATCGGAGCGCGGAGTTTCGCTGACTGACCTCGCGCTGGCCACGAGCCAGGCCACACCCGTCGCCACCCCGGAAGGTCAGACGGTGCAGCCGCTGGCCCAGCCCCAGCATGCGCTCATCGTCTTTGGCGGTCTCAGCGGTCTGGAGCTCGCAGTGGAGGCAGATGCAGGCATTCAGCTCGACAGGAACAATGCCGCCGAGCTGTTTGATGCCTGGGTCAACGTCGTGGACAACCAGGGGTCCAGGACGGTCAGGTCGGAAGAGGCGATCATGATCGCACTCGCGCGTGTCAAGCCCATCCTGGACCACCTCGCCGCCGCAAAGTAGTGCACACAGCAATGAGATACATCCGCACTGCAAATGCGAGTGGGCTTGGTCATGTGCCGCTTCTCATGCCCGTTCTTCTTCGTGCAAAGCCTCAAGACACGGGGGGATGAGATTCGACCCTGCGCGCCCGGGCGTGAAGGCGAGAGAGACTCGACGAGCTCCGTTCGTAGCCCTCTCAGTTGACGCGCGAAAGCAGGCACGGTGAAGAAGCAGATGGCATTGGTCGTACACGGCCTTAGACCTCGTCGTCGTTGTCGTCGTCCCTGAATCTCGGGTTCTGCAGTTGCAAGCTCGTGTCATCAGCATTCCATCCGCGGTGCAAGAATGTAAGTGTGGGGACGTACCTTTTCAGACTTGCCATAGAGCTCCTGGTCCTCTTGGTCGTAGCTTCTCTCTCTCTTTGCGTGTTGCGCGGCGGCGGGGGCAGCGTGGCCTCTTGCGTCGGCCTCGAGTTCGTCGTACATATGCTCTGCGCCCGCGGGCACCAATCCTCCTCCGCCCGAATCCATGCCCGCCTGTTCCTGATACAGCTGTTCCCTCTCCAGCCTCCTCTGCTGTTCAGCCTCGATCTTCTTCCTCTCCTCCTCCTCTCTGAGCCTGTTATGGCCCCAGCCACCCCTGCCCGCATCGTACTCCTGGCGGTACTCGTCACGAACCTGACCGCCGCTTCGACCGCGCCCGTACTGTCGGCCCTCCTTGTAGCCCGGATCGAGGTCGCATCGGATGACGCGTTCGTCGAGCTTTGTGCCCGAGACGTAGCGCATGCAGTCGACCGCCTCGGCGTGCGTGTAGAACTCGACGAATGCAAATCCGCACGGCGTCTTCTGGTTGCGGTCGAGGCCCATGATGATGCGCTTGATGCCTCCGCCCGCGCCGACGTTGGCGACGCGCCCGAACACCTCGTAGATCTGCTCCTCGGTCGTGTAGAACGACAGGTTGCCCAGGTAGAGTGTGGCGGTTTGGCGCAGCGCTTGCTGCTGCTCGTGCTTGGAGCTGTGCGAGCGCGAGTCGCGGTCTGATCGACAAACTCGTCAGTTGCTGTATGAGGAAAGTGCGACGACGCAAGTGTGGCGGGAACTTACACGATGATGGCGCATCGAGCGGCTCGAGGATGTGCGACATTGTGAGCAGGTGGTTCCCAGCTGGTGGTGGTCAGCCGAGCCGTTGGTGGGGGCGGAAGATGGTGGTCGAGATCCGTCAAACCAGTCGCGCCTGGGGGCAATGGCCGAGTTCCGAGTTTGGCTCTCAAAAAAGTGGCGCCCGTGGAAAAAAAGGCTCCGGCAATGCTCCACATGGCTGCTTCATGGCCACCACCCCACCGCCCCGCCCGCGCCCGCACAGGATGTCCGCCGACGAGCAGCGCACATCCTCGCCGCTCACGCCGCCACTCGAGGCGCTCTACTGGACGCAGTACGGCCAATGGTACCCCATCTTTCGCAAGCATGCACCCAAGTCCACGCTCATCGACATCCCTACCGTCGAGCCACGCTTCCTCGACTGGCTGGGCGCAGATACCTTCATCCTCCCCGACGGCAGTGGGCCCTCGACCCTTGCGCGCTTCAGCTCCGCCAACTCCTCCGCCTCGAGCTTGTCGCACAGCCACTCGGATGACGACGAGGAGGGTGAGAATGGGGTGAGGCTCGAGAGTCTGGATGCGGCGATCCGCGCGGTGGTGGAGCGGTACGGCGGCGGGCCCATCTTCGCCAAGCTCAACTGGAGTGCGCCGCTCGACGCGAGCTTCATGCTGGCGGGCAACAATCTGCAGTGCATGCATCCGGAGGACGTGTACCTGCTGCTCAAGAGCAGTGAATTTGTCGGGCGCGATTTGGAGCAAATCGCCCAAACCCAGCATCCCACCTCGGACTCGGCGCCGGCGGAGGGCGGGGCGGCACTCGCAGTTGGCACCACGGATGCAGATGTGGTGGGGGAGATTCGGCCGCAACTGGTGCTGAAGAAGTGGTTCCAACTGGCGAGGTCGTACGAGTTCCGGTGCTTTGTACGCGCACGCACGCTGCTCGCCATCTGCCAGCGAGACATGACGTTCTACGACCACCTACAGGACACGCAACTCCAACAACAACTGCGCACGGCCATCGAAAGCTTCTGGCACACGGTGGTTGAGCCGTCGACCGAATTTCCACTGCGCGATTATGTGCTGGACGTGTATGTGACGAAGGACCTGGGGCGTGTGTGGATCATCGACATCAACGCCTGGCTGCCGCGCACCGATCCGCTGCTCTACACCTTTGACGAGCTCGAGCAACTTCACCTCCACCCTCCCGCGCAACCAGAACTCCGCGTGCTACACGACAAACGCCTCAGCTCCGCCGGCGGCACGGGCGCTACGTATAGCAGCAACATGGTCCCTACCGACCTGGTGCAGTTCGCCAAATCCTCGGCGCGCACCAACTCAACCACCCCGCAGTCGGTCGATCAAATCGTTGCCAGCTGGAACGCCCAAGTCGACGCCGAAGACGCACACACATCAGCCTAGACTCCCCTTTGTATTGGTATCGTCGGTGACTGGTGCCTTTTAATCCTGCATGCCTACATCCTCCTTGGTCTTCTTTTTGCTGCTTCGTGGCTGTTGCGACTTTTTCGGCGTTTTGGATGGTGACTTTTTCCGCGCCGCATCCGCCTCCTCTTCAACCTCTGGCTCCTCGTCGTCACCATCAAGGTGGTCGTCGAGCATATCGTCGTTTGGGTCCTCATCGCCGTGCGCCGCGTACCAGTCTTGCACCTTGATCGCCAGCAGCCGGTCGATGTCTGGCACAGGCTGGTTCGCCAACGCATTCCAGCCGAACTTCTTTGCGACGGCCAGACGCGCGCGGTTTCTCCGACCCATCAGACCCCTGTACTGCTCCACGAGCGCACCCATGTGGTCCAAGCTCTTCATCAACACCACCGCCTCCGACCTCGGCCCCGCACGTCCGTCGATCTTTTCGCCGTCGATCTCAATCCCGCCCTCGGCTTCGCCCTTCTTGCCCGCCCCCGCGGCCTTCTTCTTCTTGCCCGCGCCCTTGCCCTTCTTGTCATCCTCGTCGTCGCTGCCGTCGGAACTGTCGTCGTCGCACTTGGTCTTGGTGCTCGCCTCGCGCTCGAGCGCCTCCCTCAGCGACGGCACAATATCACACAGCAGCTCGTAGCCCTTGCGAATGTTGGCGCGACGCTTCTGCTCGGACGCAATGTGGTTCGCCTTCTTCTCCTCGGTGGTGAGCAGCGTATGCTGCTTCTTCTCCTTCTCCGCCTCCTCCGCCTCGCGCTCCAGATCCTCCGCCGTCGGCTCGGGCTTGATCTCGAGCCCCGTGCTGGCGTCGATGAGGCCGTTTTCGATGTGCTGCTGCCGAAGCATGTCCAGATGCGGCTGCGTGCGCTTCTCCAGCCGCGGCGGCGTAAAGTGCGCATGCAGATTCGAAGGAAGCATGCGCAGCGCGCCCTCGAGGTCCAGATCCAAATTGGCCAGGTCGGCAAGCGCGCGGATCACCGCGCCGGACGGACCGGCATTGAGCGACAATCCCTGTGTGGGTGCCGTCTTGGGTGCGCCTGACGACGTACGCTTGAGGCCAAGGGCGCCCGTCGATCCCGAGGGGGATGCGGACGATGCCGCCGGCGCCGCCCACCCGGCCGATGCGCCGCGCTGCGACGGCTTGGACGAGCCGGTCTCAGGCCCGGACGCTCGCGACGCCCTGCCCTTGGGAGTTGAGCTGCCCTCTCCTGCATCCTGCTCGTCTGGCTCTGCGCCACCTAGCAACGACGCAGCACCCAGACCCGCGTCTCTGTTGAACATGGCGAGGGCCTGCGCGGAGAAGCCGTTGGGCATGCCGCCCACCGCCGCATTGCGCATGTCGTGCTGCCGCGCCGCTTGGGCGCCCTGCTGCAGCGAGCCAAAGTTGTGGCTGCTCGGAAACTGTGCGCCGAGCATAGCCAGCCCCGCGTGTCCGTCGTCTGCACCCGGGTAGAAGGGAGCACGGTTATGCTGCTGCGCCGACTGCTGCTGCTGTTGTTGTTGTTGCTGCTGCAACAGGTGTTGCTGTTGCGCCTGCAGATGCGCTGGCGTCTGGAAGAAGAGGTTATCGTACGGCCCGGTAAAGATGGCCGATGCGCTGGCGCGTCGCTGATGCTCGTTGAGTGCTGCGTGGAGAGGATGTGCTGCGGAGTGTTGTTGTCCGCGGCTTGCCTGCGCTTCGAGGAAGGAGAGCTGTTCCATCTGCCACGCCTTGTTCTTGCCGTATCCCGCTGCCGCGGCTGCGGGGGAGAGCGGACCGGTGGCGGCCGAGAAGGAAGCGTGGCGGCCGGCTGGATGTGCCTGGGCGTAACTCTCGTGGATGTGCGCGCCTGGAAAGGGAGAGTTACCTGGTGGCGTCGCTCCACCGGGACGATGGCCGTAGAGGTTGAAGCTGTTGAGTCTCTGTGCGCTGCTGGAAGGGTCGTGGTGGCCTGGAGCCGACGAGGTGAAGGCCATGGCGTGCGGATTCTGGCCCGAAAGGCTGCGTGTTCGCATGTCGAGCGCGGCGCCAGGCTCGGCGAGGGCGTTGTGTGCGAGCATGTTGGCCGAGGACGAGGACTGCGATGCGAGGTGGTCGTGTGTGGCTGCGATGTTGGGCGGCAGCAGGGAGGGTACCTTGAAGCCTGGAGCGCCGATGGTGAAAGGGTCGAAGGACTCGGCGGATGAGAGCGAATCTGTGATGAACTTGGACTCTTCCGAGCTGAAGAGGGAAGACGAGGCTGGTGGAGCGCCGGACGACGAGGAAGCGCCGAGGGAGTGTCCGTTTGCAGTGGGCGTGAGCGAGGCCGAGGAGCCGGAGTCCGACGATGCCGATGGCGGCTGGGGGATGGCGAACGACATGAGCGTGGAGCTAGGCTAGCCGAGCCACATTGGCGCTGGTGATGAGGTGGTGGATGATGGTGGTGAAGGAATGGGCTGGATGGGGCCGAAGCCGAAGCAAGCTCGCTCGCTTGGATGGCCCACGGCTCAACGCGGCTCCACAGCTGCGCACATTCCGGCTGAGCGGCTGCAGCCCAGTGGAGCAGTCTTTTGGCCACCTTGAATTTTGCCTCAAAGTGTGGGGATTCGGATCCGTGCTTTGGCGGCTGAGACGCGGTTTCACACGCATCCGCTTTTGGCGGCTTCAACCCAAATTCATCCCGCTCAAAATGGCTCAATTCGCTGCTGCTCGCTTCATGCAGCATGGTCTGCAGCATCCCCTGCTTTCAGCCATCAGACGCATCAGATGCATCAGCATGGTCGGAAGAGGGTGCATTACATGTTGGCGCCCTCTGCCTCGGTGGGGCTGCCGATGAGGCCCACGTCGGCTTCGCGTAGCCTGGCTGCCAGCCTTTCTTCGTGACTGCGATGCTGGCTGTCGGATCTCGTCCTACCGCCCACGACGCCAGCGTCGAGAACGACATTCTGCAGTGGTTGCGCATCGCTCGACTCTGACGAAACCGATTCGTGCTGCGATGAGCGTCCTGCGTTGACCGAGATGGAGATCTTGGGCGCCCGCGGCCGCGTCGAGCTGCTCGACGAGCCCAGTTGCGCTTCGGCAACAGCAGCATCGGCACCAGCCCTAGCCGTGGTCGGTGGCTGCATGGCCGGCTGCTTGGCTTGGGACGTGACGCGATGAAGTGCTGTTGCTGAAGCGATGGGTGCCGAACGCACGCTGGGAATCCTGTTGAGCGTCGCGCTCGATGCCGTCGACTGCGTTGGAGTGTCGTGCGACTGTTGATCTGCTGGCTGCTGCTGCTGCTGGCTCGCAATCGTCGAAGGAAGGTAGCTCCAGCCGTACACGTCGGCCACAAACTTGGCAATGTCAGGCTGTGGCTGCCGCGTCTCGGACTTGCGGATGAAGGGATGGCTGATCATCTTGTGCGGGCCCGGTCGCTTGGTGGGCTCCTTTTCGAGGCAGCGCTCGATAAAGTCGCGCAAGGCGCGCGACCACTTGACGCCCGCCTTGTCGTCGTCCTGCAGCTCGGGCACCTTCATGTTGACCACGTACGAGAGCAGATCGATCGGGCCCAGTGGCGGCTCGCCCTCGGCGGGGAACGGGAATCGGTTGCTCGCCACCTCGAGGATGGTGAGCCCGAGCGACCAGACGTCCGAGGTGATGGTGTACGCCAGCCCGCGGATCCTCTCGGGCGCCATGTAGTAGCTTGTGCCCGTGAAGGTGCCGGCGACCGAATTGATCAGCTCGCCCGACACGCCAAAGTCGCACAGCTTGATCTGGCCCTGGCGCGTGACGACGATGTTGCTGGGCTTGATGTCGCGGTGGATGATCTTGCGCTCGTGCAGGTAGCTGAGCCCCTTGAGCACGCACTCGGCCACCTTGCCCAGCACCTTTTCGCCCGTGCGTCCGTTGCGGCTCTTGACCTTTTTGTAGATGGCATCGAGCGAGCCCGCCTCGGCATACTCCATGCAGATGGCGATCGACGTGTCCTGGTCCTCGAGAAAGGCGCCATAGTAACGTACGATGTAGTCGGAATGGCACGATCGGTTGAAGGCCAGCTCGCGCAGGATCTGACGGTGGATCGCCGGATTGGGCGAGGTGGAGATGGTCTTTTTGGCCATGATGAGACCGGTGGGGCGATGGCGCACCTTGTGCACCTCGCCGCTGGCACCTTCGCCTAGCCTTGAGAGCATCTCAAAGTTGCCTGCCAGCACGAGCTCGTCGTCGTGGCCAGTCGAGCTTGCGGCACGATTGGAAGCTACCGAGGCGCTCGAATCGGCTCGGGAACGCGACCGAGATGCTGGCGTGGCGCCATCTGTGGCGGCGCCGGTGGTGCTCGATTCGATCGAAGCGGCTTGGGAGCTGCTGGCGGCGCTGTTGGACCTCCAGTAGCCGCTGGAGGCATAGTTGCCGCCTGTAGCCGGGATGCGGAGTCCGTTGGCATCGACACGCTCCGGGTCGGAGTCTGCCATGGACATTCCGCCGATGGCGCGACGGAGGTCGTCTGTGATGGCGGTGTGCATGTGTGCATTGGTGAGGTGTGGGACGGTGCTTGGGTATATGGTGGAAGCGTTGGACGTGTCGATGCCCGGATGGCCATCTTCGTAGCCGTCGTCGGGATATGGCTGGCCGAGCGAGACCGAGGAGGAGGCAGCGTTGGGGATGGCGAGCTGCGGACGCTGCAACGACGGCTCGTCGCGCTCGCGCTGGAGTGTGCCACCGGGAGCCGAGGAGGAAGAGGTGGGGCGCGCCGGGATGGTGAGCTTGGGCATGCCCGGCTTGCGCGGCTTTTTGGGTGGGATGAGCGACGCCATGATGGCCAAGGCAGCTCGAGTGGTAGCAGCAAGCCTGTGCTGCTCGGACTAGGATCGCGAGCGCATGTGTTGAAAATGGTCGAGCCTGACCGTGCGTGGCCGTGCAGGGCCGTTGGAAGCAGAGTGAGGCGGTGATGGTCGACCGTTTAGATTGGCTGTCACGACGGTGTCGCTTCGAAGAGTGAAAAGTGCGTTTGAACGCCGCCGTCGCACGGTGCACTGACTGATGGCCAAAAAGGGCAAAGCTGTGAGACCTCTAAGGTCTCACAATTGCAACTTTTGAAATTCGCGATATTGGTGCGGCCATCGAGGCGAAGCTGAGCTGCAGCGCCTCCGCAAAGGGTCCTCGGCGTGTTGCTCTGCTGCTCCACTTTGGTCGCGCTGCGGGTCGGTCACCTCTGCATCCATCGTTGCTGCTCCTCATCCACCCTCCGCCTTCTAACCCTCGCAGACACACACCTGCCATCGCTCCACAGCTCGCATCCAGCACTCATCCGACGACCGCGCCACTCCAGGCCCCTATCTGCCTCCACATGAACATCATCGACTCGCTCTTCGGCCGCACAAAGTCGCCAGCCGAGCGGCTGCGGCAGCACCAGCGCACACTCCAAAAGGCGCAACGAGAGCTCGACCGCGAACGCACAAAGCTCGAACAGCAGGAGAAGAAGCTCACACAGGACATCAAGAAGAGCGCACGCGCCGGCCAAATGGTGAGCCACCCCAGCATCCCACAGCAACGCCGCTCACCTTTCCCCAAGTTCCCGAGACTGACTCCACTGTTCCTCCTTGATTCCTGCTTTCGCAGCCCGCGTGCAAGGTCATGGCCAAGGACCTCGTGCGCACGCGCAGACACATCCACAAGTTCTACCAGATGAAGACGCAGCTCCAGGCCGTATCCTTACGCATCCAGACGCTGCGCAGCAATCAGCAGATGGCCGAGGCCATGAAGGGCGCCACGCGGGTAAGCCCTCTCTTTCTTTGCCTCATCTTCTACCGCCCCACCACACAAGCTGACTTTACTCTGTGACTCCTCGGCAGGCCATGGGAACCATGAATCGCAGCATGAACCTGCCGGCGATCCAGCGCATCATGCGCGACTTTGAGCGCGAGTCCGCCACGATGGACATGAAGGACGAGATGATGGGCGAGGCCGTCGACGAGGCCATGGACGACGAGGACGAGGGCGTGGGCGAAGAGGAAGAGTCCGACAACATCCTCAAGGAGGTCCTCGACGAAATCGGCGTCTCTGTCGGCCAGCAGCTCGGCGAGGCTCCCACCGCCGCACTGTCCGCACCACAGGCCGCACCCCAACAGCGCATCGCCATCGGTGAAGGCGCAGCGGGCGGTGGAGGCATTGGCGCGGGCGCTTCCAAGGACGAAGATGCCCTCCAAGCCCGTCTCGACAATTTGCGTAGAGATTGATCCGCCGCCCTTTGGTTCATTGTCTCTCTCTTTGGCTGTAGCCTCAGCCGTGCTTCACAGCGTCTTTGCTTTGGCCATGCGCATTTGTCGTTAGATTACGTATTGATTCTTCGATGAACTGTTTGTGTCCGGAGGACCCTTGGATAAGATCCATGATGAGCGCTGCAGTCGTCTCGAATGGTGAGACAGCGCTGGCAGCTGCAGTGCGATATCCACGCACAGCGCACGCGTCGAGATGCAGCTCCGGGCAGCGTGTGTGGAGCCTGGCCAACGCTTCTCCACTTGCCACGTACGACCCCTCTTTTTATCCAACACGATCCCCACATTCTGCCTTCATCAGGCATTCCACTCTTCCACCTCGCCCCGCTGCGCTCGTGTTGACGGGTCTGCCAAGGCGACTACATGCATGGTCTCCGCCGAAGCCGTTCCTCTTCGACGCATCGAGCCAGCTGCGCATGCTTCGTCCACCCATACAACCATCCCGCATAGACGCAGTCTGGACGCTAGTACGCAGATGGTGACATCCCGTGCGCCCGCCGGCCCTCGCACACGCCAGCTTCCGCGCGAGGCTTTGCAAAAACGCACGTCGTATCGTCTCAACACCGCATTCTTCTTGTTCGGCCTGCTCAACAATGCGCTCTACGTCGTCATCCTCACCGCTGCACTCGAGCTGCTTCCCCAAGGCGTACCCACAGGCCTGGTCAGTTTTGCCAACATCTTCCCCGCGCTCATCGCAAAGGCCGTATGGCCGTACCTGCTGCGCGGCAGGGTGCGATATACCCGCCGCGTATGGTCGTGTGCAGCACTCAGCTTTGTAGGCATGCTGCTCGTATCGTTCTTCCCCGCCCTCACAATGCGCCTGCTCGGTATCTCGCTCGCATCGTTCTCGTCAGGTCTGGGCGAGTTGACGTTCTTGCAACTCAGCACACGCTATGCGCCCAAGCATCGAAGCGGTACGCTCGCCGCGAGTGCAGCAGCAAGTGCCGGGATCGAGACCAACTTCGCCGGCGACGCAGTCGGATGGTTTGCTAGCGGCACGGGCGCAGCCGGTCTCGTGGGCGCCGCGGCTTGGTGGGTCGTAAGGCCGCTGGGCGTGCAGACGGGTATGGCGATACTAAGCATTCTTCCGGGGTTCATGGTGCTGGCGTACCTGGCTGTGCTGCCGTCGATCCAACAGCTGCTTGACGCAAATCCAGCACGAGCACAATACGCCCCCATCTCGACATCAGACGAGGCTGCCAGCCCCACTGGTGAGCAGCTTCAGGACGACGATGAGGATGAAGCTGCAGCTCTGTACGGCGCTGAAGCGGACGCAGGGATGTCGGGCCCCAAGGACGGCGATGGCGAGGGCGACGTCAAGGTGCGCTTAAGCTTTGCGGAAAAGATGACGCTGCTTCGTCCGATGTTGCTCCGCTACATCCTGCCGCTCGTCACCGTGTACTTTGCCGAGTATACGATCAACCAAGGCGTAGCACCCACGCTGATCTATCCTTTGCCGACATCCAGTTCGCATCCGCTGCTGGCGCTGGTGGTCAAGAAGCTTACGGACTACTATCCGCTGTACCAGCTGGTGTACCAGACGTTTGTCTTCCTCTCTCGCTCCTCCATATCCATCTTCAAGCTTCCCGCCATCCCTCGCCATTTACTCTGGCTACCTGCAGTGCTGCAGACAGGTCTACTGGTGCTGCTGGCATCGGAAAGCTTGTATGCGTGGTTTAGGCAGAGCATCGCAAGTCCGCTCGTCATCGTGCTGATCTGCATCGAGGGTTTGGCAGGTGGTGCAGCGTACGTGTCGGTATTCTACAGCATAGGCGTCGACGAACAGAGCGATTCGAATCCCATTGCTCTCCCCTCTGCAACGGACGATGCCAGTCAGGCAGAAGGTGGCGAGCATGCGTACGACCAGGCGTACGCAATGGCGAAAAAGGCCCAGGAACACGAGTTCCGCATCGGCTGCGTAGGCGTATGTTCATCCCACACTTCCCCAAGCAGCATGACCAATCTGTGACCTCTTTTGCTTTTGCTACATCAGTTCGGAGACAGCCTCGGCATCCTGGCAGCAAGCCTGATCAGTATGCCCCTCCAGCTGGGCCTGTGCAACGCCCAAGTCGCCGCCGGTCGCCAGCTCTGCAAGCAAGCCTAGCCCTGCCTTGTCAGCCACTCAGATTGCAATCCTAGATCCAACCCGCACTTCATCTTGCCACTACAGGACTATTCCAGCAGAATCGGGTGCACATGAGATCCAATGTCTTGCGACCGCAAGACTAGGTCGAGTAGACCATCGCCTCGTAACGCTGGAAAGCAATTTACTGTATATGTACACATAATGAGCCGTGGATGCTCAAAGTGGTCCTATAGCTCAGCGGTAGAGCGTCGGCTTC